GCAATGATAGAACATTAATAATTATATAGAAATTAACATAATGTATGCCAGAAAACTTAGGGGGTGATTGTTTATCAATTTATCTAAAAAAAATCAATCAAAATTCAAATTTAACTCAACTTTAACCCAACTCTACTATCTCCAATATTATTAATATAATTAAATAATATCAACCAATCATTCAACCAATCATTCTTACACATCACATCAACTTTAATTCACAATTCATCCTCTCACATAATTTTAAGGCTTAATTGCAAATAAAATCATGACCTTTTTGAAATTTGCAATTTAATGCACCACTTTTAAACTTGGCAAATTTATACACCACTTTTACAATTTTTTGCAATTGTATGCATCGGGCCAAAAATCGGGCTTTCCTTGCTGACATGGCTTGAACATTACATACGTGTAAATACTTGTTACTTTAACTTTAAAAACCGATTCCACGTGGCAACTGCATATATAAAATCCAAAATTTTCCCCAAATCGATCGTCGATCTCTTCAAAATTTCCCCAAATTTCCTCAAACCCTAAATTTCGCCCCTAAAGAACTTTAACCATGAATCCAACGAAATCAACGAAGGTTCTGTGAATCGACGATCTTCTCAACCAATACTTCAACCAAATCGACGAAGATTCTGTGAGTTTCATCTGAAAAAAATCGCTGAAGTTCGAGACAACTACGCTCAATTTCATCAATCGTGTGGTCGTGTTGTCCCGCCTTTGTGGTCCCTTTCAATCGTAAATAATGGACGACGACAAAATGTAAGCCGTATTTTTCGTTGTCAGCCTTTTCCCTTTCACACTTTATTTTAATCAAAATTTGTCCCCATCTTGTACTGCTAAAATTAGGGTTTTTTTTGATAAATTATGGTTTCTTGAAAAATTTAAGGATGCCTCAAATTAGAGTTTCTTAAAGAAAATTAGGAATTCTGCAGTTATGATTTAAATTAGGGATTGTCAAAATCGGGTTTAATCTAGGGTTCTTTAAAAATTTTAGGGATTCTCCAATTTAGGGTTTATTAAGGTAGTGTTTTTTGTAAATTTCAGGGATTCTTCAAATTTTAAAGTTCTGGGAGAATTGAGTTGATGTGTGTGTCAACTTTTGATTTGATTTTTGTTCTTTAAATTGTCTTCTCTGCAGGGTGGATAAATTGTCATTATTAGTTAACCACGGTGGTAAACTTATAATAATGGATGACAATGTAGAGTACTTAGGAGGTGATTTTGAAACAGTTTATGGTCTTGATGTGGATAGATTTGGTTACTTCGATTTGGAAGAGCAAATTCAAAAACTTGGGTGTACCACGTGGACAAATATATATTACAGAATTCCCAGAGTGAATGGTAAACAAGCTTTGAGGGTTTTGGTTGATGATGTGGGTGTGATGGAACTGATTGCTCATTCTTCAAAACATAAATCCATGATTGAGATTTATGTGGATGGGGGAAATGAATTCCAGTGTACTGAGGTTCATAATGTTGTTGGTGAAAAGAATTGTGAGGGTAGAGGGGCCTCAGAGGTACTTGATGAGCTTTGTGAAGAAAACATTGAGGGCAGAGGGGCAGCAGCAGAGGTACATGATGATCTTGGTGAAGAAAACATTGAGGGTAGAGGTAGAAGGGCAGCATCAGAGGTACATGATGAGTTTTTTGAACAAAACATTGAGGGTAGAGGGGCAGCATCAGAAGTACATGATGAGGTTGTTGAACTTGAGCACTACATTGATAATTACATGCCAGATGAAGAAGGTGCAACAGGTGAAGAAGGTGCAGATGAAGAAAGTGAAGATGAAGATTACATGCCACAAGGTGAAAGCTCTTCTGAGGATGACCTTAATGATGAAGCCATTGCATCTGAAGATGAGGAGTACATTGAAGCAAGAAAGAACATAAAAAAGTATAGGAAGAGTCCACATCATGATGGTATATCAGAAAGTAGGCTCAACCAATTTACAAGCACTGGACTTCAAGCAGGTGAAGAAGCTGATATGGATAATTTTAGTGATGAACAATGTGCAGTTATGACTGATTCAAGCAGCAGTGAAGAGGATGAAATCACAGAGAATAGGCCGAGGAGAAAAAAAAATCAGAACTGTGTATGATCCTGTCTGTGATCACAAAACACTTGTGTTGCAGGTAGGTAAGAGGTTTGAGTCAATTGTTCAGTGCAAAAAGGCAGTAAAAAAAGTTGCAATTTTGAATGGGAGAAATACTCAGAATATGAGGAGCAACAAGAAACTGCTAGAAGTCAAGTGTGTGGATGGATGCCCATGGAGATTGTATGCCAGTGTAATTCCATGTGAAGGAAGTGTTGCCATAAAGTCCATTGTTGAAGAGCATAGATGTCATAAGGACATTTACACCAAACAAGCAAGTGCTGAGTGGATTGCAGAGGAATATCTGCATACATTTAGGAAGAATCCCAATTTCACTATTAGCCAACTATCTGATGATATTCTGAGAAACTTTGCTGTTCACCCATCAAAGTGGAAGTTGTACAGAGGTAAGTGGAAAGCCCTAGAGATGCTGAGAGGAACAGGTGTGGAACATTATGCTTCTGTCAGAAGTTATATATTAGAACTAATGAGAGTAGACAAGGAGGGTAGATTTGAGTTACTTGTTGGTGAGGACACACAGTTTAAGAGACTTTACATTGGCTTCAGTGCACTCAAGAAAGGGTTCATTCATGGTTGTAGGCCTGTCTTGGGTCTTGATGGGTGCTTTCTTAAGACATTCTTGGGGGGAGCTATGTTATGTGCAACAGCCAAAGATGGGAACAACCAGATATACCCAGTTGCTTGGGCTGTAGTTGAGTCAGAGAATGAAGAATGCTGGACATGGTTTCTCAGTATCTTATTTAATGATCTGGGAATTTCTGATGGTCTGGGATATACACTTGTGAGTGACCAACAAAAGGTAAATAGCAAATAATCTTGAATGTTATCTACACTTTACCCCATATTTAGTTTTAAAACATTTGTGTTTTGTATTAATGCATGTGAACTTACATTGGCAGAGACTAATGAATGCTGTGGAAATGCTAACTGCATATGCCGAGCACAGAAATTGTGCAAGGCATGTCTACATGAATTGGAAAAAAAAAGTTCAAGGGCCAAGAACTTAAGTCCATGTTTTGGAAAATAGTGTTGAGTCCTAATGTGCCAGCATATAATTTGGCACTTGAGAACCTGAAAATTGAAGAACCTGAAGCATATGAGGATTTTATCTCAAGAGACCCTAAAAGATTCTGCAAAGCATTCATATCTACCATGCCAAGATGTGATATGATTGAAAACAATGTCAGTGAGACTTTTAATGGCTACATTGTGAAGTTCAGAAGCAAACACATCATAGATATGCTTGAGGGTATTAGGACTGAATTAATGACAAGGCAACATGGGAAAGCTTTTACAAGCTAGTGGAATAACTGACTCCATATGTCCCAGGATTAGAGAAAAGGTAGAAAAGAACAAGTTCATGTCAAGGTTGTGCACTACCCAACCAGCAGTTGGAGATAGGTTTCAAGTTAGCATTGATGATGAGCAGTATGTGGTAGACCTCAGGACCAACACATGCTCTTGTAGGACATGGGACCTTTGTGGGATTCCTTGCATCCATGCTTGCTCAGCTATTCACTTCTTGCATAAATACCCAACTGACTTTGTGGATGGATACTTTAGCCTTGAGAGGTACATTAATATGTACAGCTGCTCCCTTGAGCCATTGAATAGAAAAAATATGTGGCCAATTGCTGATGGCTATCCAGTGAAACCACCCCTTTTTAAGAAAATGCCAGGCAGGCCTAAGAAGAAGAGGAGAAGAGCACCAGAGGAAGAAAGAAAAACTGCCTCAAAGCTTAAAAGGTTTGGCTTACAGATGACATGCCAGAGGTGCCAAGGGAAGGGACACAATAAAAAAACTTGTATGAAAGACCCTGTACCAAAACCACCAAAGGTTAGTATGTGATCATTAGTTTAGTCCTGTTTTTTATTTTTTTATTTTTTTATCATTTTTCTTACATTTTGTTACTTCAAACTAGAACAAGAGGGGGAGGCCAAGGAAGGTACCAGCAGGACCTGTCATTGAACCAGTTGGAGGTGTGTCAAGTAGCACTATATGTGAACCAGATGGAGGTGGATCAAATAGGATCAGTAGAAAGACTTCAACAAGATCCAAGAAGAAGCAATCTAGTAGGACAGTCATTCACAAGGAACGAGCCATGGTGAGATGCTAACCTTTGTGTTTTAGTGTTTTATCCTACACAAAGCATATATAGTTATACTTTATGATTTTTACAGGCTATGAAGGGTGTGGGGATTTTTCAGTCTGAAGAAACTGGAAACATATATATGCGGGTAAGTGAGTTTAAACATGGTATAATTCTTTCATCTGTCAATTTAAAAGAGGATATTCACTTTGAACATCTTGTGATTTCAATGTTCAGATGTCAGCTGGAAAGGGTATTCACTTTATACCCTCAAGAAAATCAACTCTGAGTACCAAAAATAAAGGCAAAAGAAGTGGAGATAACAGTCAAGAAGCTGAAAATATTGGGACTCAAGAAAGTGTGGCAGAAGCCTCATAGTGTCACTATCATTGCTACTTTGTTTTTTATGATGGGTAGTCACTTTGTTTTGCTACTTTTATGATGAATTGGACAAATTAGTCAATAGAGGATGAAAATATGGCAATCAGTTGTTTTGTTATGAATTATAGTCTGATGTAAAGGTGAACTACCTTTTGCTTTGGTTATGATGATTTAGGGAAAATGATACTTTTGGTAATCAGTTGTTTTTCTACTTCTATGCAGTGGCTTATTATGTTTTGGTTACAATGATGTTATGTATGTGATCTGTATTTGATGATTGATGATCAGATCAGTAGCTTTAGGTCTTTATATTGCTTTGTTTAGTGTATAAAAATGAACAAAACAACACATTATCTACTTTCTTTTGTCTTCACCAAACATCAGACCAATGATGAAAAGCACTTGGAAAAATAGACACCGATAGTTAAAGCGCACCACAGTGATAAAAACATTCATAATTTCATTTCATTACCATAAGCCTCAAAACATAATCACATTGATCCATTTAGTTCATAACAACCCTTCATCATACCACTAGAATGATCAACTACACTACCACAAACACATCACCTACTCATCACCAACACATCAGAAAGCACATATCCTACAAATTGATCAACTACCCTACAAAGTTCAGTCGTCCCAACTCAGTGTATCCTTTAGAATGATTGTCTCTTTTTGAGTAAAATAATATCAGTATTATTGTTATGAGTGTTATAATCCAAATTGCTGTCAGCTTGAACATTCTTTGGAGCTTGGTCACTTGGTCCTTTGCAATCTTCAGTTTTTTCTCTATTTTTTGACACTTCAAAGTCTGCAGCTCCAACATAGATTGAGTTTGCTGATGGAGATCCTGCACCTTATCAAGCTCTGAAACCTTGATCTCTATTCTTTCTGTTATGAGTTTTTCCATAACATCTTTGCACCTTAGCACATAACAATAAAATGGAGCATCATCAGTAACAATCGAAATGAGCATCAATTTTTTCCAAAAACCTATTTTCATCTTAAAACATAACATCAATTTGTCCATAACCTTTTCGCACCTTAATTGTTCTTCCAAACTCTTTTTCTGACTCAATAAGTTCACAAAGCAACCTTTCTGAAATGGAGGAAGACTTGGATCGATCCATTCAAAATAATCGCAGTCAACGCCCTACAAATAAGCCAAAAAAAATAAAAAATGCAAGACACTCATAGTAAAATGACCTCGTTAAAATGACTCACCTTCCTTTCACACCGACTGAACCTCCTTTCCGGATTTTTGTTGAGTCGTTGACGTTAACACCAACTTCCCATGCTCACAAGTTTTTTGACTTGAATGAGATGAAACATATGGGCAAGAGCTTTGAGATGTCGATGAAGACATGCTTTCCGGTCGAATCTTGTAGAGTAGTATGCGGGGCGAAATTTAGGGTTTGAGGAAATTTGGGGAAAATTTTGGAGAGATCGACGATCTCAAATGAGGTTTTTGGATTTTATATATGCAGTTGCCATGTGGAATCGGTTTTTAAAGTTAAAGTAACAAGTATTTACACGTATGAAATGTTCAAGCCATGTCAGCAAGGAAAGCCCGATTTTTGGCCCGATGCATACAATTGCAAAAAAATTGTAAAAGTGGTGTATAAATTTGCCAACTTTAAAAGTGGTGTGTTAAATTGCAAATTTCGAAAAGGTCATGGTTTTATTTGCAATTAAGCCTAATTTTAACTAACCACCACTTCCAATCATTTTTCTCTTACTTTTACATCATATCAACTTTAATTATTTTATTTTAAATATTATTTTAATACATCCACTAACAACTAACCATACCAACTTTTTTCAAAATTAACTATAGTTAGAAAAAAATCAATTAATTGCTAGATGAATTCATAAACAATCACCCCCTTAGTATCTAACAATTTTTTTATAGACTTACCATCAATCATCATATTATATTATATTATATGTGTTTTGCTCTTCTAACATGATTTTACTATTATAATTTTCTAAGTATGTTTATTTAAAATTAGATGTGAAGTTTTTGGAATGGAGAAAAAAAATAAAGAATGCACGATTAAATTTCTACATTTATTTGTTAAGTTATATATGTTTATGTAAAGTAAAAGTTTTTGGTCTTAAGTTATCTTTATTTAAAGTTAAAGTTTTTGGAATGGAGAAAAATATAAATACAACTTAAATTTCTGCATTTGAAAAGTAGGCAGAAAAAAAAAGTGTTCTTAGAGATTTGTAAGAGCACGAGTCATAAAAAGAGATTACGTTGAGCTTATTTAAAGTGCTAAGAAAAAATAATTAAGGCATAGAAAATGTCATGTCTTTTTNATATTTAATACAATTGTTATATAGTAATATGTACATTACAATAAACTTTTGAATATCCTTTAGGAGACTTATTTTTTAACAATTCACAGTTCATGAAGATTCATTGAAAGGGGAATTTTCTCATTTTTATTTTTAAGCATTTTAAAACTAACTTTATCGGTTGTTCGTGGGGAGATAGAAAAATTCAATTTTATATGTTCAAACTTGTAATGTACTATACTCCACTCGTGTCGTGTAGTACATGGGTATGAGTGTTAATTAAAAAAATTAACTTAACAAATAAATAAAATTAAGAGTTTTTATTTTGAGGTTTTAGATACTTCTTAAAAATTATATTAATATAAAGTTATATAATAAATTATTTTATATATGTAATACATTTAATATGAAATTAACTAATAATAAATAAAATAATATTTATATATTTAAGTTAGCTAAGTATTTTATAATTTTAAAACTCGAAAAAGATAAAAAAAATTCAAATTGAAATGGATTAATTCCAGTCGTAAAAAATATTGACACATTGAATTACGATCTACCAAATACAACATATAGTATTACAGAACTCTATAAATCAACATATCACATACATATGTTATGAAAACTCTTCACTTACTATAGGGAGATATTTTAAAGTATTTGTATATATATATTAGTGGGGTCAAATATGCAGGAGAAAAAAGAAAATACTGCAAGTACATAATAAATGTGCAGGTGTACATAACACTCACATGAAGTACGGTTCACTTAATTTTTTATTTTTGGTGGGCCCACTTAATGTAAGTATTATGTACACCTCTATGTATAATATTATGTACCTATAACGTTTTCGGAGAGAAAATAGGTAACGTTTCAATGTTTATAGTGATGAATCCAAAAAGGAACAAAGGGCCTTTGAAATTTGTTAACATATTACTAATGTCAACGTCGTTTTATCAAAGCTGATCATTGGTACTTGAGAATTTATATCTTAACAATTCAAAAGAAACAACTTTAAGTAAAATTCTTTTGTTTTACGCGCATGTATCTTTCACCACATTTTCTTAATTTTTTTTAAAAAAATATTCTTAAAAAAAGAAAAGGTGATACTTGGTTTTCAAGTTTTTGGTTGTAAAGTGCATGACTGGAGAATAAAATGTGATATACAACTAAAAGAATAAAGGTTGGTATATTTGTATGTATCTTTGTCATGCAAATGAGTGTATGTTAAACCAAAAGATGTGTTCTAGATCATTTGACTTTTGATGTGATCAAAATTTAAATATTTTTAAATATTTATGGTACAAATGATCCCCTTTTAATTTTCTGGTGCAATAATATTATAATTGTAGTTCATGTAGTGTTGCACTATGAAGTAATAGGGATACGGAAAAATTAATAAAATTGTAGCTTTTGTAGGGTTCTAATTATAAATTAATCGTGTTTTCATGCTCTTATATATGTCCATTTCTATCATTGCTTCATATGTAAGGGTCACGACTTAAGCCATTGTGGTTGAGTTCTCAAACTCGAGCTCGACTTATTAGTTAGCCGAGTTATATTAAAAGTTCATTAAATTAATTTTGAGCGGATTGTAAAATACTAGCCTCGTAACTTGTCATAGATATGTTTTAACGTGTTTAAGATTTTCATTTTGAGCTCGAACTCGTTTAATGAATAATGAGCTCTTGTTAATTAAACGAGTTCGAGCTCGAGTCCTGAATAGATATTCTTTTGTTAACAACTTTAGCATTGACAAGCTATCAAGTTATGTATATATTGTATCTATTATTTGGTGAGTCACTGTTAAACATGTTGAAAATTTGCAACAAACTTGAAAATCTTAAACACGTTAAAACATATCTATGACAAGTTACGAGGCGAGTATTTTACAATCCGCTCAAAATGAATTTTTTTAGTTAACTAGAATTAATTTTAAAAAAGTAATATGGTTAGTTGTTAGTAAAATTTAAAATTTATATTAAAATAATATATAAAATAAAATAATTAAAATTGATTTGATGTGAAAATAGGGAAAAAAAATGATGTGAAATGATGGTTAGATAAAATTATGCTAGTGGATAAATAATGAATTAAGTTGATATAATGTGTAATAATGATTTATTGATATTATTTAATTATATTTATAGTATTAAGGATAGTAAAATAAATTTGAAATTGATTTTAAGTTCAAATTTAGCATGAATTGAATTATTTTATAAACAAAACTGAATTATTTATAAACAAACACCCCTTAAATGAATTAAAATATAATTGCCTTTTTGCAGCTCGTGCCAAAATTAATTTGCCCCATTTGGGACGAGTGGTTTCCAATTTTGTAAGTTTTACTTTTGTCCAAATCCGTAATGATTTTTTTTTTTTTTCCCCATAATACAAATTCATTAACTAGAACACATAATTACAGCCGACTGAGCACCCGACTTGTGGTTGGCCTCGTTTATTTTGGTTCTTGCGAGTGAGGAGACGACCTGTGTCTACCCACTACGCTTTGATAGCCGTCTCAGTTGTATGACTTTCATTTTTGATCAATACAAATTTATTTAACGATAAAAAAAAAAAAAAAAAAAAATTACAAA